TAAAAAATTTGTACTATTTTTTGTGTTGAAGAATTTTTTTTATAAAATTCCACTCCACTCAATCAAAGCTTGTTTTTATTTCGGGTAGTTTTTTTGGTGGGAATTTTTTTAATAAAAAAATTTCACTATAGTGTTTCAAGCTTATTTTTTTATTTTTTTATTTGTTTTGAGTAATACCTTTATGTTTTTTGGAATTAAGTTTTCGTAGTTAGATAAGTTAGAAATTTCTACAATTTTTTGTGTTGAGTAAAACATTCCACTCGCACTCTGTCAAACTCGTTTTTTTATATTTCTAGTAGTTTTTTTACATATTCTTACATTTTAGGAATTTAATTTTCGTAGCTACACCAAATCGAAATTTCTACAATTTTTTATGTTAGGGAATTTTTTTAATAGAAGAATTCCACTACACTCTTTTGAGCTTGTTTTATTTTTCTATTTGTTGTGTAATATTCTTACATTTTTGGAATTTACTTTTCGTAGTTACATTAGTCATAAATTTCAACAAAAAGTTTGTCTTGGAGAATTAAAAAAAAATTTCAACCGCACTCTTTCAAGCTCATTTTTTTAAAATATTCTAGTAATTTTATGTCGGGATATTTTTGAAATAAATAAATTGCACTGCACTCATTCAAGCTTGTTTTTTTTTCTGGTAGTTTTGAGTAATATTTTTATATTTTAGGAATTTAGTTTTTGTAGTTACACCAGTCATAAATTTCTACAATTTTTTGTGTTAGGAAATTCTTTTAATAAAAAAATTTAACCACACTATTTCAAAATCGTTTAGTTTTTCATTTTTCAATTTGTTTTGAGTAATATTTTTACATTTTAGGATTTTAGTTTTCGTGGTTACACGAGTAAGAATTTTGTACAATTTTTTGTTTTAGGAAAATTCTTTTATAAAATTTCATTTCAGCTCTTTCAAATCTTGTTTTTTTTTTAATAGTTTTTTCTGGGGGATTTTTTCTGTAAAAGAATTCAACTGTGGTGTTTCAAGCTCATTTTTTTATTTTTATTTTTGTTTTGAGTAATATTTTTACTTTTTAGGAATTTATTTGTCATAATTATACTTGTGAGAAATTTATACAGCTTTTTGTGTTGGGGATTTTTTTGAATAAAAAATTTTCACTGCACTCTTTCAAGCTCATTTTTTTTCTAGTAGTTTTGAGTAATATTGTAAGATTTTTAGAATTTAGTTTTCGTAGTTACACCATTGAGAAATTCATACAATTTTTGGTGTTGCGAAACATTTTTGGTACAAAAATTTTCCTGCACTCTTTTCAGCTCTATAATTTATTTTCTTTTTTCTTAGTAATAATTTTACATTTTTGTTTTCACTTCTTGTAGTTATACTAGTAAGAAATTTCTACAAATTTTGTGCTTGGGTAAAAATATTTCACTACCATCTTTCAAGCTCAATTTTCCATTTTTCAAGTAGTTTTGTGTCTGGGAATTTTTGTAATAAAAAAAATTTCACTACACTATTTCAAGCTCATTTTTTTATTTTTCTATTTGTTTTAAGTAATATTGTTATATTTTAGGAATTGAGTTTTTGTAGTTACACGAGTACAAAATTTCTAAAATATTTTGAGTTGGGAAATTTTTTCAATAAAATTATTCCACTACACTCTTTTGAGGTCTTTTTTTATGTTTCTTGTAGTTTTGAGTAATCTTATAATATTTTTTTCAATTTAGTTTTAGTAGTAATATCGATCGAAATTTCTACAATTTTTTTTGTTAGGGAAGTTTTTAGTAAAAAATTTCACTTCACTCTTTTAAGCTCTATATCTTATTTTCTATTTGTTTTAAGTTATATCTTTATATTTTTTTAATTAAGTTTTCGTAGTTAGACTAGTTAGAAATTTCTATAATTTTTTGTGTTGAGAAAAACATTTCACTACGCTCAATCCAACTCATTTTTTTTTATTTTTCCAGTAGTTTTGGGATATATTCTTGCATTTTAGAAATTTAGTTTTCATAGTTACACCAGTCAGAAATTTTTACAAATTTTTGTATTAGGGAATTTTTTTAATAGATGAATTTCACTGCACTCTTTTAAGCTCATTTTATATTTCTATTTGGTGTGTAATATTCTTACATTTTAGGGATTTAGTTTTTGTACTTACACTAGTAAGAAATTTCTACAATTTTTTGTCTTGGAGAATTAAAAAAAAAATTCGACCGCACTCTTAAAAGCTCATTTTTTTTAATATTCTAGTAATTTTGTGTTGGGAAATTCTTTTAATAAAAAAATTCAACTGCACTCTTTCAAGATCATTTTATTTTTTATTTTTCTATTTGTTTTGAGTAATATTTTTACATTTTAGGATTTTAGTTTTCGTAGTTACACTGGTAAAAATATTGTACAATTTTTTATGTTGGGAAGTTTCTTTATAAAATTTCACTACACTCTTTCAAAACTTATTTTTTTTGTCCAAGTAGTTGTGTTGGTGGGAATTTCTTTAGTAAACAAATTTCACTGTGGTGTTTCAAACTCATTTTTTATTTTTTTTATTTATTTTTAGTAATATTCTTACTTTTTAGGAATTTAGTTTTCATAATTACACCAGTAAGAAATTTCTACATTTTTGTTGTGTCGGGGATTTTTTTAATAAAAAAGTTTCACTCGCAATCTTTCAAGCTCATTCTTTTTTCTAGTAGTTTTTAGAAATATTGTAACATTTTTCGAATTTAGTTTTCGTAGTTACACCATTGAGAAATTTATACATTTTTTTACGTTGGGAAAAAATTTTAGTAGAAAAATTTCACTGCACTTTTAGGCTCTATAATTTTTTTTAGTAATAATTTTACAATTTTGGAATTTGGTTTTTGTCGTTACACCATTAAGAAATTTCTACAATTTTTTGTGTTGAGTAAAAACGTTCCACTACAGCTTTTCAAGCTCATTTTTTTTATTTTTCTAGTAGTTTTGTGTTGAGAAAATTTTGTAATAAAAAAAATCTACTACACTGTTTCAAACTCATTTGTTTATTTTTTTATTTATTTTGAGTAATAATGTTACATTTTTTTAGTTAAGTTTTCATAATTACACGAGTACAAAATTTATAAAATTTTTTGAGTTGGAGAATTTTTTTAATTAAATTATTCCACTACACTCTTTCAAGGTCATTTTATAATTTTTCTTGTAGTTTTTAGTACTATTGTAATATTTTTTTAATTTAGTTTTCGTAGTTACACTAGTCATAAATTTTTACAATTTTTTGTGGTGGAAAATTTTTTAGTAAAAAAAATTCAGTCCACTCTTTTTTTGCTCTATATCTTATTTTCTATTTGTTTTGAGTAATATCTTTACTTTTTTGGAATTAAGGTTTTGTAGTTAGACCCGTTAGAAATTTCTACAATTTTTTGTGTTGAGTAAAAACATTCCACCGCACTCCGTCAAACTCGTTTTTTTTCCAGTAGTTTTTGGACATATTCTAACATTTTAAGAATTTAGTTTTCGTAGTTACACCAGTCAGAAATTTTTATAATTTTTTGTTTTAGAGAATTTTTTTAATAGAAGAATTTCATTGCACTCTTTTAAACTCGTTTTATTTTTCTATTTATTGTGTAATATTCTTACATTTTAGGGATTTAGTTTTCGTAGTTACATTATTCATAAATTTTTATAATTTTTTGTCTTGGAGAATTTAAAAAAAAATTGACCGCACTCTTTCAAGCTCATTTTTTTTAATATTCTAGTAATTTTGTGTTGGAAAATTCTTTTAATAAAAAAATCAACTGCACTCCTTCAAGATCATTTTGTTTTTTATTTTTCTATTTGATTTGAGTAATATTTTTACATTTTAGGATTTTAGTTTTCGTAATTAAACCAAGTAAGAAATTTGTACAACTTTTTGTGTTGAAGAATTTTTTTATAAAATTTCACTTCAATCTTTCAAAGCTTAATTTTTTTCCATTAGTTTTTTTTTTTGTGGGAATTTTTGTAGTAAAAAAGTTTCACTGTAGTGTTTCAAACTCATTTTTTTATTTTTCTAATTATTTTGAGTAATATTCTTACTCTTTAGAAATTTAGTTTTTATAATTATACCAGTGAGAAATTTCTACACTTTTTTTGTATTAGAGAATTTTTTTAATAAAAAAATTTCACTACACTTTTTCAAACTCGTTTTTTTCTAGTAGTTTTGAGTAATATTGTAACATTTTTTAATTTAGTTTTCGTAGTTACACTATTGAGAAATTTATACAAATTTTTGTGTTGGAAAAAATTTTTAGTAAAAAAAATTCTATTGCGCTTTTTAGGTTCTATAATTTATTTTCTTTTTTTAGTAATAATTTTACATTTTGAAATTCAGTTTTTATAATTACACCAGTAAAAAATTACTACAATTTTATAATGAGTAAAAACACTTCACTACAATATTTGACACTCAATTTTTTATTTTTATTTTGTATTTTTCTAATAGTTAACCGCTGTTACGTTAGTGCATCAAGAAAACATTATTTGATATAGTCTATGTATGACCATGATGAATAGCCGGCAGAGAGAAACAAAGTCCAACATTAGTTATGGACCCTTACTGAAGTTTCATATAAAAACTAGCATTTATTTACTTATGTGTGACCAAACATAAAACACAAAGATAGCGTATCTTAGGTGTGAAGTTAGCAATCATTCTGCCAGCTATGCCCTTCCAACTTTCTATGAGTAAAACTTATTGAAGTCTGTTTTGGGTCCATTAGGCACTTTCTAATTGTATTTTATTATGCACAGTTTATAATGACAACATATTTTGAATGCCAAATCATGACCTAACCAACTTCACAATGTTCATAAAATTGCAAGATGATTAAGACCCCAACATTTGATTGGACTACTTCTTTAAACACAAGCAAGTAACTATCCACCCTCATTTCAGCCACTACTTCATGACATCTTAAATATTTTCACAGATATGGAGGTCACAAATTTTCTAAAAAAATGCACCTTCTTGCTCTCAATTCTTACTTTTCTCTTTACTTTTCCCTTGAACCATGTCATGGCTAGTGTTTACACTGTTGGTGACCAAGATGAGTGGAGTAGCCAAACAAATTATGCTTCATGGGCAGGGACATACAATTTTAGCCGTGGTGATGTTCTTGGTATTTCATTCAATCTTTACTTGTTTGTTATGTTTGTTTGTTTGTTTTTATTTTCATCTATCCAAGGAATTCCTACAATTATAATCTTCTAATAGAGTTTTGCTTTTTGTGTATGTGTGTGATGTTTTTGGTTCAGTTTTCAAGTACATGAAAGGGCAACACAATGTGTATGAGGTGACAGAAGACACTTTCAGATCCTGTGATGCAAGTAGTGGAGTGTTAGCTAAGTATGAGAGTGGAGAAGATGAAGTGGCACTAAATGAGGTGAAGAAATATTGGTTCATTTGCAACTTTGCAGGGCACTGCCTTGGGGGCATGAGGTTTGGCATTAAAGTTAAAGATGCCACCAATCTTACTCATTTCAAGGATATTCACCCACCACCAATTCAACCAACTCCTTTGCATAATTCTTGTTCCACTTATTTTGTATCTCAAAGATGGACACTGATTTTGAATTTTATTCCTTTAGGATTGTTTCCGTTCAACTATTATTTGTAATGAATTTGTTTTGGGTATGTTATTTGATTATTTATTTCTACCTTTTATTTAATAAATTTGGTTTTTTTCTTCTAAAATAATTGCATATATAAAAACTAAAACTAGTGAGTAGCTTACACTTTTTTTATTTACATTATTCCTCGTATTGAGGTGTAGCATTAAATATAAATTTAATAATACAATGTTGTTTCTCTATAGGAATTATTTATTAAATACCAATAAATTTAAAAACAAAAAATATTTAATTATTATGTTGACCAAATTAAAAAATATTTAATCATTATATTGACCAAATTAAAGAAAATATTTTAATTATATTTAATTAGAATTTAAATTGGTCTCTAATTTTGACTAATAAGATTTTAGTTTAATTAAATTAAATAATTTACATTCAACATTTTTGCGTGGTGACTACCAAACATGTGACAAAGTATTATTAATTGAATGTTTATTAGAAAGAAGAGAGAAGAAGTGGGTTAACTATGAAAATGCTGGGAATAGGAACCTATATGGTGGTTATGAAGAGGATGTTGATCTGACTTTGCTGTCACCTCATGATGAGTCCATCTGTAACGGTTCCGCGTAAGTTCCAGCAGCGACTCTCTCACGTCTTCAGCCTCAACCGTTTCACTGTCTCTTTTCTGGTCAACAAGAAACAATGATCATGTCATGCTTTGGAGATTAACCAATTCAAGGTGCTATATATAATCTGAATAGACATCATAGCATGTTACCTCCACTTCAAAAACATTTGACACGAGGCCCTTGTGGCTGGTTACAGTGGCATGCACTACATCCATGCCAATGGTGTTCAACGCCTCCATCAATTTCACAAACCCACCAGGCCTGTGTTCACAGAACACCTTCACAAAATACTCATTCCCATCTATCAGAGACACTTCCACTTGCGGCTGCAATGTATGTAAATGTTACACTTAAATTCAACCCACAATACCATAGCTCAACTAAACATAAAAAGTGAAAAAAGAGAGTTATTATATGATTTAGAACTGTCACATTTTCATAACATAGAATAATCTCCATGTTACATATGCACTCTATTCTTCTTCTATATGTAAAGTAAGATGAAGTGTAAGTGATGAGTTCATACATATACAGTGATTTGAGGTAGGTTATATTAGGTACCTCCATCTGCTGGGTCTGCCTGTCAATGAGAGCAGCATCTTCCTGCTTTTGTTTGGACACATAGCCATTCCCTGATGTCCCCACATGCAACCCAGTTTGGGCCTTACCATGTTCAGAGTTTGGACATAGTTCACCTACACCCACATATTGATTATTGCTGTTGTTATTGTTGTTATTATTCCCATTGATGCAGTTGCTTTCAGTGTCTGCGTTCTCCTCAAGCTCATCTTGGAGCTCCTTCACTTGCTTCTGCAAATCCTTCACAAACTCAATAGCATCTCCAAGGATGGAGGCCCTATCCAACTTAGAGATCCTTGGAACCAAAGAACGAAGGTGGTATAACCTGTCATTGAGCTTCTTCCTTCTCTTCCTCTCAGCCATAAGGTTCTTGGACTGGTTGCCTTTCCCATTCCTCCTCCTATACTTTCCATCTTCCTCCTCTTCGTTCTGCTCGCTGCAGTCTGACATTGAATCTGATCGACCAACGACGTGTTTCAGCAACTCCTTGTCTTCCTCTTGCTTCTCTTTTGCGTCCAAAGGCTCCACGTATTGTGAATCTGTTGTCATGAGGCTTTTCTGATACTTGTCATGCTCCTCTTCTTGGTTGCTTTGCTTGTCATGAAGGAAGGAACCTTGGTATTCTTCAGAAAAGGCATCGCCCTTCATTCTGTTCTGCTGGTTGTAGTTGAACTGCTGCATGAAGTTTAGTGGAGAACTGCACATGCCAATGCGGTGGTCCATAGTCATGACATGTTCTGAAGGGTGGAAATGATTGTTCCTGTTGTTCCCTTCGTTTTCATCGCCTAAAAGTGGGTTTGGTTGCATGTTGCTCATAGCATTCACGTCAATGTTGAAGCTCATTGAGTGGTTCATGGCTTCAATGCACTGGCTTGTAACAAAATCTATTACTTGATGGTCTTCAGGGACCTGTTACAAATATATGGAGAAAAAAAAAACTTTAATCTATTTATACATCATATAAATGCTGCCTACAAGAACATATAAATCATATATTGTAAGATATGACAGTACTTGTTTGGTTACAAACAGCTCAACAAGTCCACCTGGCACTGAAATCAAAACCTGGGTCCCAATTGTTTCCTGCAAAATAAATTACTACTCAATAATATATATAAACTCAATATACATAATTAGATGGAAAAAGTAAATTCGTTTGGCATTCCAGAGATGAAGTAAAAAATATAATATTAACTTAAGAAATTGACTTACATCCGAAATGCTAGGATCCAAGCTAGTAGAATAGTTAACCCAATTGGGTTGGTTTGTTAGTAGGGGCCGTGCATGAATCCTGTTGATTGTGGTATACTTGGTGAGAACACAGATCAGCTTGTGTAAATATTTCAAGATAAAGGGAAGGGGAGTATTGCACTATTATAATAAAAACGTACATACCCAGAATTATCTATTGGTATGGAAGTGGAAAGTTGGGAAAGAAGATCACAGGGCTTTGTTCTGGGGTGTGGATAGGTGGTATCTCTGCATGAAGCCACAGAAGAGACAGGGAAAAGATGTTCTTCCCCAGCATTTTGGTTGCTTTCAGTGCCACCACAACAGCATCCCAACAACTCTAGCAACCTATAGCAAGCATTACAGTTGAACACAAGACGAGAAAGAGAAAAAGAAGAATGATTATATAAAAATTATATCTAACCTTTCGTCTTCACTCAATTTCCAGTATATACAGTAGTCCCATCCGTTCAAACCCACTAGGGGTCTTAGTCTTTCCACTAAGTTTTGCATGATGATGTTCATGTCACCTGCAATAATTGGTAAAGTGCCAATTGATGCTGAGAACCGCTACTTAGCCGACACAAACCAGGTACCAAACCAATGAAGAGAGTTTGTCAGATCTCAAATTGACATATGTCTTATGTACTGTATTTTTCTATCGTACAGATAAAAAACATGGTGTTCATTATATGATAATGTGATATAAGAATAAGAATAATGCATATCTAGTTAGAACATCATAGGAGCTGAGATGAGTTAATTTACAATATTACATCATACATGGTCAAAATGATTTGATTGAATCATCAATTGGAATTTTATGGTTAAGATTTTTCCTCTGCATGCTCTCACATATATGTCACTCGATATATGCTTATATATACCTTGCACTTTTGAAACACCCACATGCATATCCACGCAGATACCCCGTATAAATAGAAAACGAATGAGATATGTAAACCTAGATGATGATAGTGAACTTCCTGTTTGAGTTCCCAAAAGCCAAGTGGCTATGTTACTTGATCCTTTGGCCAAAAGCAAGAAAAGTAAGATCAAAATTGAGAAGAAACAAAAACTGATATCCATACAAACTTAGTTGATAGCAACAGTTAACTGCACTGTCATCGCAAAATTTTGAATCTTATCCACCTTATGCCGAAAGACCCATCTCAGCAAACCAAGAGCAGAAGCAAAGTTCCTTGTATGAATGGCTAGGAAGAAAGAAGATGCAGACAACCTCAAAAGCACATACCTGGTACTTTCCTTCTTTATTTCATAACAATATCTTTTATATATATAATTGGAGCATGGCTGTTACAATGGTAGGTGAAGTGCAGAGGGTGAATGACAGTGAGAGAGAGAGATTTTCGCAATGAAATAATTTTTTTGTCTTGTGTTCGGTTAAGGAAGAGAAACGAGAAATGAGGAAAGAAAGGTGAATTGAAAGATATAGATGAGTTGGTGATGATGGGAGGAGCATATTGCATGATCCAAGATGGCGTACAAAACCTTAACTACCTTGCCAAAGTTTTTCATTCGTTTTGGATACTATTTTCTCTCAAACCCTCAACTACTCCATCATTCTTCACATTGTTAACCACAAAAGGAAACTGCATATGCATTCCATCTATATAAACAAAGGTTTATATACTTTCATTTGTAATGTTTTAATGTTTATGCATTACCTCTCAATTTAATAATCTGTTAAAAGTGTAACAACCAACAAATTTAAACCATATAAAAATTTAATAGGTAGGATATCATATAGAAAATTTTATAAAGTAAAATATTGACTAAAAAAAGTAAATTAAACTTCATAGTTTTGTAAACAATTACTTTGATTTAAAAAATTGAGACATTTTTATTTATTTGAAAAAGGTGCTTTTAAATAGAATATACCATACACAACTATAATGTATTTGCAAAGCACACTTCAAAATGCAAAGAGGATATTACCGCCTCATAAATAAAAAGAATTGGACTATAAATTAATTAATTTACTCGAAAAGTGTTTTATATAAACATCTCCTTTTTTTAATATAACTTTTTATAATATTATTATATTATACATTTTTAACAATAAATACTCTGGTCAAACCGATAAAATGATGTTATTCTAATAATTTAAATATATTCTTCTTCTTGTACTCCTTTTTAATCATTAATTCTTTTATAACTAAGATTTAAAACATTATTCTATAAATTATATATGTATCTAGGAAACTAACTAAATATCTTCAAATAATGTCAAAATTTGATTTTGATTTAATTGTTAAAATCTAGTTAATAAATTTTAAATTTTTAAACAAAATTTCACCATCAAAATTAGAAGAATTCTCATGATTTAGATAAGTGTATTAATTTTAAGATTTGATTAGATAACGATATAAGTATTGAAAAAGTTATTAGTAAATGGAAAATAATATTTTCTTTATTTAATATATATATATATATATATATATATATTATTTTCCATTTTTAATTATATATTTATTTTCATTCATATATAAGCAAAAAATAGTAGAATGTGAAAGATAAATGTTATTTTACAAAATTGTTTTTACTTAAATAAATAATTATTATTTTTATGTTTATAATTTTAATATATATATATATATATATTATTTTTATTACTATTTTAATTAAATATCATAAATATGAAAATGAATATAAAAATCAGATGAATAATTTAATATATGTTTTTTTAATGTATTATTATTCTATTAATTTAATTTCAAATAATTTTAGAAAAGAATAATTTTATAATAAAAATATTTATAATTATTTATCAAAGTATATATTATTAAAAAAAAGAGATATTAATTTAAAGATAGTTACTTTAAAAATTATCTTAATGAGTAATTTATAATTGAATAAATATTTAATTTTAATTTAATTATTTTTTTAAGTGAACTTTTTTTCTTTTTTATGTACTTTCCTTTCAAGTAAATAAATAGTTTTCATTCTATTTAATTTTTTTATCTTTTCTTACTTTCCTTTTTTTCTTACATATTGTTTCCTTGTTACATAATACACCATTAATACTAAATATAAATCCAAAAATATGAAAAATGATATAGGAGAAAAGTTTAGAATGAATGAAATTTGTAACAATTGTAATGAGTGGAGTTTCAAACTTTAATTTTGAGAAAAGAAAGTGTTATTTTTTAAAATCATTTTCCTATAATGTGTCTTCAAAATAAATATAAAGGTAATTTTATAATTGTATAATTATTTATTTTTTATATATTTATTTTTTTAAATAATAATTTTTTATTTCTCTTTAAAGAAATAAGTACATTTTTCACTTTATTTTTTTTCCTTTTTCTTCTTTCAAACTTTATTTCTTTACAATAAAGATATAGGTTTAAAAATTCGTTTAGGTTAACAATATAAGACAGGTTTAGAAATATATCCTTAACATTAAACATTTATCACCAATTCATTTTTTTAAAAATAATACTAATGGAAACATCACTTATCACTCATTAATGTTTTGCAGATTAATTATCATCCCATTATAAAAAAATTCATTAAGAAATTATAATACTAATAATAATTATATTTGTAATTTTAACATGGGTATGTACAAACTTTTGTATGCCTTTCGAAATTGGGGTCGTAGGCTTTTTCCCTATTTGACCGTGTTTAATGTTAATATAATATAATATTCAAAGACAATTTTTAAGTAAATAAAAATATCTCAATTATTAGGGTTTATTATTTTTTCCGTTAAGATTTTGATATTATAAGTTCGGTAAGTTAAGAAAATATATATAAATTATACTTGTATTAAAATATAGTCTCAATTGAATATTAAAGATAATAAATGAAATAAGATTTGATTTCATGATAAATATCAATATTTCATCTAAAAGTAATATGATTATTTATAAATAATTATTTTTAAAATTATAAAGTTTAATATTTCTTATTTTAATGTTCATGTTAAATTATTATACAATTTCATAAAATATTATTGTCCAACTTAAAATTTTATAACAACAAACGATACAAAAAAAATCTGTAATAATGAGATTATATATATATATATATATATATATATATATATATATATATATATATATATCTAAAACTAAAAAAATAAATTAAGAAACTAAAATTAATTAGATAATATTTATAAGAGTTTGAAACGTATTGAAACAAAAAAAAGTATAATATATTAATCAAACTATAAGAACACAGGATATCTGATGTGGTGTTGTCGATTCAGTTCATTATTTTAGAGGAAATATTTCTTTAATTGGTTCATTTATTTAAGAAAACAAGTTACGTGGCAATTACGAAAAATCCTGGCATGTCATAGTAATTTCTGGAAGAAGAAAAGTTTGAATAGAAGGAAATTTGAAGGAAAGTGACATAAGATTAGAAAAATAAATTTTGGGTGCAGAGTTTAGTTATTATACGCATGCAATGTCAATGGGAATGCTCCCAATCCAACAAAATCCCATTTCCACATCTTTTTTTTTTTCTTTTGACCATGCTTTATATGCAATCGTTGAAGGACAAAACCAAACTCATTGCATTCACATCAAATCAAACCCTCTACTATTCTATTGTCGACTCTATCACCAATCATGTTTATGCACTTTAATTAATTACTTACCGTTTAAATCCTTTTTTTTTCCCACAAATCTAGATATCATTTTGTAAGAATAACATAAGTGTAATGCAATTAAGATAAGAAAAGAAGATGCATCTAACATTTTTTTTTTCTCAAAAATTCATATTAAATCAAGTACGATGAAAAATTCTTTTTAATGGGGTATGATAAAATTTAACATAATTTAAAAGTATAATACTATTATAATATATAAGTATATATAATTTTTAATTATATTATAAAAAATAGTTAGTATTAGAATAAAATATATTTGTATGTCAATTTTTTTTATTAATTAATACTCTATCTAAAGAATACAATAGTATTTTTAAAATTAAGATAAACTTTTGTACGTGAGACAACTCTCGAAAAATTCATTCCATATTTTTTTTAGGGCTTTCATTTTCTTGTGTACGAGTTTTTTTTTTTTTTCCAAAACTTCTCACTGCTTTCTTTCTCTATCCATTTTTATGTGATTACACTTATATGAAAACTAACATTTAATATTATTATGATTTTTTTTACTTCTTCTGTACTTTATAAAAAGAAATTAGAGGAATCAAAGATAGATAAGAAACCACTAGGGTGGAAAAAACATAAGAGGATAACAAACAAGAAATATTTGAAAAACCAGTTGGAGAAAAAAACTAAAAAGAAAGAAAAAAAGGTACTCCTCCACTATTACTACTGCTAGGGGAGAATAAGGTCCCAAAAAGAAGAAATACTCGAAGTTCAAGCCAAGTTCAAACAGAAGGAAGAAGATGTTTATTTCTTTCTACATTAATCAAATGTTTTTCTTTCTAATTTTCACTTATGAATGATCGGGTAGCGTTTTGTTTTTTTATTTTACGCCACCTCCGATTACGATAATTCTAAAAATTCATTGCAAATCTTGTTTACAAAAAGTCAAAAGATACAATCCAACATAAATTTCTATCAATTAATTATTTCAACATAAACATAAACAATTTAACATAATAATGTAAAAAAATTCTAATATATCTCAATTTATAAAAATTATTGTGTCCAAATTGAACACGATGAAAACTACTTCCTCATGCAAATTAAATGTTTTTAGTGCAAATTTCTTTAAAATTGACTACTCATAATTATGAGAAGTACAGGAGGTTATCCATTGTAATGGGTGGGTGGCTGAATATCAATGTGGAATGACTTATTATCTTAAAAGGACACAAAATAGAGACAAAGTTGATAAATGAAAGTGATGGTTTAACTATACACGACCTATCTTCGCTCCACAAGTTTATGCATACTTCTTTCTAACATCGTACATGGACGGCAAGACTCTACTGTGTGGTCACAAAATTTCCCTACTTTTCTAAATTTAATGCTTTTATTTCACGCTAATCTGTTCCTGTTTTTCCTTAGCATGCTATTCTCCAATGTTCTGTTTATCAACTGTTTTTGTAAGGAACATAAAACACACTAAAGAAGGTATGTTGCATCTTCCTGTGACCAAAATCTGTCTGTTGTATACACATGTTATGTTAGAATTCGAACTCTAACTACTTACTTACAAAAGAACTTTGAGTTTCTAATAATTAATTTTACAAATAGAACTAATTTAAGTATAGTAACTTTTTGAACCGTCAAAATCTTGAGTTTAAGTATAATAGACACTCAAATCAATTAGTCTCGTAATAAAATAAATTTTCTGTTTATTTTAAGAAGTTTAAATCGAGACAGTCTTATTATCCTCAACTCAATTTCTTAATTAAAGCAAGTATGAAAAAAAAATGTAGCAAAGTTTAAAATTTAGGCTAAAAAGGTCACAAATTCGGTCAGCCATAATAGTGGTAACGTTGTAAGCGCCCTGATTTTGGGAACTTTTTCCACTCTTTGGCGGATATATATATATATATATATATATATATATATATATATATATATATATATATATATATATATATATATATATATATATAATATGAGAATTTATTTTTTCTAATATAGTATTTACGGAGGAAAATAAAATATTATAATTTATATATTTAAAAAATAGTAAAATATATAAAAGAGAAAAAGAAAAGATACCATTGGAAAAAAATATACATATTAAAAAAAAATTAAAAAATATTTTTAAAAAATTATTTATATAAAAATGTGGACATGAATTAGACATGTAAACACCTAGTTTTACTAATATAAATAATATTTTTACTATAAATAAAATTTTACCATTAAAAACATATTTTAATGTATTCAAATATATCAAAATATATATTTTTAAAACATTTTTTACTTATTATATATTTTTATTATACCAAATGACTAAATGTTTTATTTTATTTCTTAACTATTTCAATTTTTTTATACTTATCATATTTGTATTCCTTCTATATTTGTTTTCTCAAAAACAAAAGACAAGTTAAGATCACTTTGTCATATATCACTAGAGGAGTAACCGAAAAAGAAACCTATCTTAAGTACTTCTTACCCGTACACACCCTGTTGTATTTGCACCTTTTTATTGGCCTAAGAAAAAAAAAAAAAAGCTTTATTGACACAAAACATCGGATAAACAAATAATAATAAAAAATCCAAATTTACTTAATAAAGTGGAATTTAAAAACTCCTACCAGACACACATAATTTTATATGGGACAACGCGTGTTACCTAAGAAAAGTATACTACAGTAATAAAAAAATTATTTAATCTTGTACGATTATTTGATTTTTTAAGTTTATATTATAATACATTTTTGGTCATTTAAGCTGTATATAGAAAATACTTTAAATATTATAAGTTAAATACATTTTAAATAAAAAATATTATATTCCGTTATTGATTGTAACTACATAAAATCACAATTAAAACATATTTTTAGTTATATTTGTAATTGTTGAAGGTGAGATGAAATATATATTTTATTATTCTTTCCACTTATCAAATATTATGTTACACCTTAAAATAATTTATGTATAATAACATATTGAAGGATAAGAATATTGTCAAATTTACAATATGAAATATGAAGATCTTGGTTGGAATTATCTAACCATTGTATTTGTTATATTACCTCAAATTTCAATAAAAAATTTAGAAATGTTAATTCGAAAAAACAAGTTATTGATATAGGTAGCATCTTCTAACCTTAAAAATATTTTTTTTAAATAACAAATTTATGAAATTATATTTTTCTTTGCAGGATATAAAATGAAATAACCAACACTTTTAGTAAAACGATCTCCTTTAATGTTAGAGTTTTAACAACAAATGTTCCGATTATATGAAATTCTATTGGAAAAATAGACTAAAATTTATGATAGAGATAAGCGATATGGACACATGAAAATAAATCTTGTTAAATGCATAAATTTTATTATTAAAGGAGTACACGTCTTACCTATACGTGTCTTAGTTAAAACTATGTTTAAAATAACTAAAATCTTATTTTATGAAAAAAGACATGAAAATAGAGTACATTTTATAAGTATTATACTAGTTAGAAAATATTTCGAGTTTGATGTATAAGACCAATCAAATCCCCGATATAGATGAAGATTAATAAATTACACATTTAGATTAAATCATTGATGGTATAATTATGGAAATTTTTAAACTCTTTGAACTCCGTTATTCTTATTTTATTGTTATTTATTGATCTTGTCATTTACAACTAATTGTGGTCTATAAGTTAAAAAATATTTATAAGACAAGAATATGAATTTCAATTTTATAAGATTTGAAATGAAGATTATTTGTTTATTTATACAAGTTTAAATTTCATTCCTAATCTTAATATGTATCGAAAGACATCAGAAAAACTTACAATTATCCGCATTCGACATAAAATGAATCTATTAGATGCAAATAAACAAAAAAAATGTCAATTTTGTAAAAATAAGATATAATCATAAAAATTATCAATATGGATGATAAATTTATACTATTTATTTTAAAATATTTTTATATTTTAATGTGTACTATTTATTAATTTAAATTAATCCATACTTATTCTTTTCTAAATATTTTTATTTTCATTTTCAAATTAATAATATAACACAAATAATTAAATATTTTTATTTAAAAAAAAAACTAAAGTCTAAACAATATGATTTTAGTCTTAAAAAAAATGCTTCAATTAAAATGTACAACATTGCACAATTTTTTTCATTACCATATTAAACTCTTCTCATTTAACATGAGTTTTCCAAGCACAATTTATCTTCTTTTATAAAAATTTTAAAATTTGACCTTATCACGTAAATTTGGACTTCTTTTACCTAGATATTTAAAGAAAAGTCCATTCAATTATAAGTTATATAAGATATATTTTAAAAATTTAATTTAAAATTAAAACATTAATATATATATATATATATATTTGAAATATTGAATTAAATGAATTTAAATATGAAATTAAAAATATTAATATATGTGGCAATTAACCTAAGTTGAGAATAAGTAGGAGCTGGAAAGCATGTGCTTGAGTCGGGGTTGTTGGAATCATCACACGTAACGACAAAAGCTAGTATAGGTGTGGTCAGAGATAATTAAGTTTCTTCAGTATTTTATATTTTTTCAAAAGAATTTTATTGAAAGCGATAAAATATATTTTAATAATATATATATATATATATATATATATATATATATATATATATATCTCTTACTGCATATATTTTTATAATACTAAAAATCAATAAAAACAAAAGAAGACAGTGTTACATTATTCTGTAATAATGTCTCCAGTCTTGAAAATGAATTGTTAGGTAATTATCTATCAAGTGATAAATTAATGTTTATATTAATTACTTAAAAAATAGAAAATAATAATTACAATTTAAAATAAAAGAAGAAGGAGAAAATCATTTCAATAAAAATAAAAATTACAAATATTTGTGATTAAATAATTAGAGTGTGAGAGTCTATGACAACTCAAAAAGAAGTAAATGTTTTCACACGTATGAAAGCGGCAAACACGTGAGTTTCTAGATGTTTGACAAAATTTCAAAGGGTTCCTTCTAATTTAAATCAAAAATGGTTTCGCATTTGCATGCTTCCATCCTCATTTATTCTCCATTTTTTTATTATTTCTATGTTGCAATGGTCAAAGACTTTCAAAAAGCTGTATAATTCTAATGTCATCCCCTCGTAGTCAAAAAACCAACGCTTCCCCCTAGACATTTCTCCCTCATTCCTTGCTTCTTCAGTGAAACCACGCACAAAAAGATAATAATCAGACACTGTTTGTGGAATTCGGGTAAGATTGCACCTACCCCTTCAACTTTGCAACAACGCTGTCTCTGTCTTTCGTTTCTACCTTCCTGCCTTTTCAATCCCTTCTCTGTCCTCCGTGTTTTCCTTATTAGCTGTTCCTTCTCTCTGTTTTTTTTTTTTCTTTTTCATGGGTGTCTCCTTTTGCTGTACGTGATCTAGTTACCCTCTTCCTTGTTTTACACTTTTCAGTCTCTAGAGAGATTCATAGATCAACTTTTTCACCGTTAGGCTTTTCTGTTATTGTTTATGTTTTCATGGCTTTTCTGTTATTGTTTATGTTTTCATGAGAAACATATATGCAATTAAAAAGGACAACCTTTGAAAACATATATGAGTTTAGTTCTGATTTTTTGTTGTTCCTTGTTGTGTGCAGAAAAGTAAAATCCTGTCTGGTGTTTCTTTTTCCTTTTTTTTTTTTTTTTTTTGGTTCACCTGTGATAACTGTATATAGATATTCTTTATTTATTTTTCAAATATCGTGTTCTTGTTTTGTTTTCCTATGTAATAGGATTTTCTTGAGAGATATTTGCATTAGATGTTGTTAACTGAGTTTTTATTGTTTGAATGGAACAGTCACAACAGGATCGGTTGATACGAAAGGTGAAGCAGGGGACACTCGGAAAGAGATGGCTCAAAACGGAAGAGTTATACCAAATTGTGTTTATGCTCCAAATCCCTACCATGAATGCACCGAGGCTTGCTTGCAGAGGATCAAGGAAACCAAGCCTGGCAAGTCATCTAAAAATAAAAAGAGTTCTGGTAAGTTTTTTTTTTTTTTCAGCTTCCTCAGCTTTTCTCATCAGCAGTTATTAATGTATTTTGTACATCAATCTAATCCTTTTTCGAAGCAGTATTAATCATAAATTAATTACACAAGTTTGGATTTTGGCTTATGGCATTCTTTTCAAAAGATCATCATCACAACTCTTGTCCTATCAAGTGTAGAAACTGTTTACTTGGGATGATGTCCCTTGACTCAAGTATCCAGATTCCTGCCAAGGTTTTAAATTGTGGCCCCGACGGTGATGTAAGGTTAAAAAAAATGGGATTTCTCTTTCTTTTTGGCATAGAGGTCCTTGACTTGATGTAGAGCACATTCTTGATAATTGTGTGGTTGTTTCTATAGACAGCCGACACTTAACCACCGCCTGACCTCGAGATGTGGTTGCATGGTGGTAGTGATTTAGTCCTAGTGAGTTAACCTTGCGGCTAAGCTGGCAACCGCTGACCATTTTTTCAAACCTGCATTCAGTTTCCCTATTCATTCATACATTCAACAATTCAAAACCGTCTGATATTCATGTTTTATTTCAGCAAATCAAACTTAGAACCTATATTCAAAATTTGAATCCTACTAACTGCTTACTGCTATATGTTTCTGTTCCGTGTGTCTGTTTTCCTTGAGCCCTTTATGGATATTTGTGATTTTTGCCGAGTCAGGTAATTTCTAGTTCAATGACAATGTAAAATGTATTATACTTAATGCATGAAAAATTAAACCATAAAATTCTTCAAATTTAAGCAAAATATATATATATATATATATATATATATATATATATATATATATATATATATATATATATATATGCGAGTGCCTAGTTGCCAATGTTTGAACACTTGTAAGATCTGTTCTTTTTTTTTTCAAAGATTATCGAAGAAGTTCTACAGATGGTGAACTTGGCAAAAAGATGAACGAAGAAAAACGCAGGCCTGCAGGTTGCCCCAAAGTTTCTAATCCGTACCATGTCTGTGATAACAATTGCCACAAAAGAATCTCGGGGGTTGATTCAGGTTTCCGTCCATTTCTTATCTGCTATTTAAGGATTTTTGTGATATACAATTCGGGCACAGTTTTCTCATTTTAATCTGTTTTATAGCTTGTAAAGTATGCTTGTGTTTAATTTCTTCTATCTGAGAATTTTCAAGCAAGATTTCTCCATTTATCTGATTTAATCTTCTTTCAAAAAAGAACTGTCACATACATAAACTCCACATGAAAGACTAATTTGAAGATTGAGAGTGTCATTACTGGGTTCACTTCTTTACCGAGTGCCATTGCTTTTTACAATTTAAACATTACACAGTCCATTGCTGTGTAATTGGTTTTTCAAGTCCAGAATATGTAGTTAATATCATTCATACTACAAGGATAATATAGACATTGATTATATCTTATAATATGAATGGACCACACGCTTCAGGCCACCATCATATGATTTGTATATGATTCAACTTTGAATGGTGGTTAAGAGAGCGGCTAGCTACCTAGCAAGGCTTGCCTGCTAAATTTGTTTGACTAGTGAAAATATGTTGCTTCTAGGTGCTAAACAGATAATTGGTACAAATCAATATGTTTCTTACTGATATTCTGAGTATTCTCTAAAATTGCAGGTGCCATGTCATTAAACTTTGACAGGAAAAAGAAGGTTGGTTCTAAGCCAGAACTACCCGTTCTTGACAGTGTTCCGCCCTCAAAAATTGGTGCTATTTATCTCTCTGATGCTTCGTCGCCATTATCAAATTATTCTGAACATACAAAGGAGGAACCAAAAAGCAATGAGCTGATACCGGTGTCGGGAGAAATACATGTCCTGGATGTCATGGTAGGAGCCTCTCTTTTCGGTCAAACCTAACATTTTCTTCAGTCAAAATTTCTCTTTATATCATGGCCTAATACAAGCAAACCCAATAAGCATGTAGTTGACTTTGTCTCTTGTCCTTGTTTGTTTGAAAGGCTACCAATAACAAGGTCCAATCAAAGCAGAACGGGGACAAAAATGCTTCACCGAAAGTTGTTCCAATCACCTCTGTTGATGACACAGGAGGTCTTACTAAACCAGATGGTGGGTCCATGAAATTTTGCTTCTCTGGTGACAATGAAGACAGTGATGGCGAGACCGAATCAGTGGTTTCGGAGGCAAGGGTTCCGGTTGGAAAATACCATGTGAAAGAAAGCTTTGCTCCCATCCTGAGATCCATCTTTGAAAAGTATGGGGACATCGGAGCAAGCTGCCACTTGGAATCAGTTGTCATGCGGTCATATTATGTTGAATGTGTGTGCTTTGTGGTCCAAGAGCTACAATCTACCCCAATAATACAATTGACAAAGTCCAAAATCAAGGAACTGTTGGCCATTATCAAGGATGTAGAATCTGCTCAGCTTCGTGTGGCCTGGTTGCGCAGCATAGTTGATGAAATTGCTGAAAGCATTGAACTCATCGATGAGCATCACATAGCGGAAATGGCAAAGGCTAACTCTGAACGTGAAGTGGAAACACTGAACAAAGAGCTAGAATCAAACCTGCAAAGCTTGGCTCAGAAAGAACAAGAGGTAACTGATATCAAAACAAGAATTGGAGAGATCAGAGAGCGGTTAAGCGAGCTTGAGCTCAGGTCATCTGATTTGGACAAGAACATCTTGTCACTCAAGTCCAAGGTTGATAATTTAGGTAGCAAATCCTTGCTAGATGAACTAGTGTAATAAAAGAATTTAGTCAATTTCTCTTTCAAATTTCCCCTTTTAGTTATGGTATTGCTTAAATTGTAGAATATGCAACTGAATAATCGAATGAGGTATATTTTTAAGCTACCCAATGCTTTCATATGCTTACGATTTGCACCCATATGCACATATATATTATTATTATTATTATTCCTTAAATTTCATTCAAGGAAAACCTATACTCATAATCCATGAACATATATAATTGATATTTTTTATTTATCATGAATAGTTTAAATTACAACATAAGGTTAATTTTAATTATTGACCATTTTTAAACATTTAAATTTAACGGAAAGATAATATAAAAGATAATAAGTTAAAATGAATAAATAATTAAAAAAATGGACTTGAATCCACTCTTTATCTTTATATGCAATTTTGTTCTTTATAAAAATTTAATTACATGATTAGACAATATTATTAATACAGTTTTTTATTCGTAACTACCGATTATATTTTTAAAATAAAATACGTATTACAGTATTTAATTATAAGTTTTAAAAAACATGTTTGACATTTTTTAATAACTAGATTATATATTATTATGTTAAACTAAAATTATAAGAAACTATAAATATTGCACCTATTGAAATCTAAATAATATAAATAAAGATAAAAGTAATGGTTTAAGATAATTGGGAGAGTCAAAGCATGAATATCAAAATAACATCAAGAATAAAAAGTAAAATCTATCCACATTTGTCATAATAATCAAACTGTAGAGCACTGCAATACAAAATAACACAAACCCTAATACAAAAAGTTTAAGAGAAAAGGAAAAACAGATAAAATACCAATCACTTCGGTGCGGGGTTGGATTGCCACCCATAAAATCCCCAAATTCGAATCCCATTCCCAACTCCTTTTCTCCTGCTTCTGTCGTCACATTACAGGTTCGTAGTTCTCTTCTCTTTTGTTTAATTTTTATTTATCAATAGAACATTAAACAACAACAGATTCCTCTATTTTGATTTCAACAGTAATCTATGTTCTTTCAATTCCAATTCCTGTTTGTGCTACTTGTTGCTTTCAATTTTTTATAAGAGGCTTGATTAGGGTTTTGACATGAACATGTTTGCTTGCTATGCGGTAGGGGTTAAATTCTCTGCACGACATGTCTGGAGAGCGAGCAGTGCATCCCGATTGTCGGAATGCTAGTAACCCTTTTCATGAATGTAGTGATTATTGTTTTAGAGTTATAGCTGAAGCCAAGATTAAATCGCAACATAGGAAACCAGGTTAGTTTTTTAGTTGCAATTTCATTTTTTGACTATTCAGGCCATTAAGAATTATGTATTTTTTGTTGTTTTCTCTGCAATCAGTTATCTGTTTATTTGATTATGTTTACAACTAAATTCTTTCAAGGGTCGTTGTTATTCCCCAAAATGGTCACTATATTAAGTTTAACTATCCATATTTGCATACCAAGTTTAACTATCCATGTTTACATTCTGCCTTCTACTTCCTTCAGAAGTTGGACAAGGTAGTGGTGGAAATAACTCTAAGCAAGCCATCCCAGATGAGTCACACGCAGATGAAGAAATACATGATGACAGACCTGATCCTGAAGAAAACTCTGATAGTGATCCTGACCAGCCTGCTGCGCAGGAAGCAGAGCAAATTGAGGCTGACTGCACAAAACTTTCTGGGAGACAGAAAAAGTGGATGGAACTGAGAGCCAAGATGGTAAATTGGTGAAAAGCCCCTTGTTTATGACAGTTTATTTGTTTCAAGAAAACCTAAACTGTTGCTTGCTTTCCCTTGAAGCAAGAAGCAAAAAAGCGAAATCAAATTGAAATAGCTGCTGAAAAGAAGAGGATGGAAGCTCCAACGGAGTCTAGGGGTGTTTCAAAACAAAAGTGGCTTGAGGATAGGAAGAAAAAAATTGGAAAACTTCTTGATGCAAATGGACTGGATCTGACAAAGGCATATATGCTTGACACACAGGAGGCAGCAGAAGTAAAATACAAGAAATGGGAGAAGGATCCTGCTCCATTTGGATGGGATGGTATGTGCTGTACTTATGCGATAAGCCTTATTGTGCAATTCTTAAGGTGTTATGTTTGTGTAAGCTTCAATGCAGTTCCAAAAAAATTCAGATTTTCAAACCTGAGTTTTAAAGCTCATATCTTGGTTGTTAATTGAAGAGTATGATGTATTTTCCTTTAAAAACCGTTCCTAGATGGAGTATAGATGTCTTGCATGATTATTACCTTTAGATTTATAATTTCTTTAGAAATGAACTATTGCTAAAGTCCTAGCAAGGAAAGACTTAACTGTTGTTATTCTATTGTTAAAGATGTTCATAAAAGCACATTTTATACATAGAAAAGCTCGGCAAAATATTTGTCTATATTTTTTTTTTCACCATATACTGCTCCTACATATAATTTTGGATATTTACATGTTCTGTTTGAAATATAAGGACAGCTTTATCCTAGGAGAAATAGATGCCTTCTTATTGCAGTGTAAATTGATTGAAAAATTATCCAAGGAAACTTTCATGTTGTAGAGTAGTGTTGAAGCTAATATTATCATTGTTTATCAGTCTTTAATCAGAAAACATTATACAATGCATACAAAAAGCGGACGAAGAATGTTGAAGTTGATGTAGAAGAATATAATAGAATGAAAGAAGCTGATCCAGAGTTCTACCGTGATGCTTCAAGTCTCCAGTATGGAAAGGTGTACTACCAAATCATGGATATCTTTTTTTCCATGTTAGCATTCTATTGTCATTAATTCTTTTTGTGACGAGCTGTTTTTTCTTTCATTACAGGCACCAAAAGTCTCAGAGGAGAAGGTTGACAGGATGGTACAAGAGCTAAAGGATAGGGAAGAGAAGCGCAAGTCATTTAGCAGGAGAAGACGGTTTCATGAAGAGAAAGATATTGACTCAATCAATGACCGTAACGAGCATTTTAACAAGAAGATTGAACGAGCCTTTGGTAAATACACGCTGGAGATTAAAAATAATCTTGAGCGAGGCACTGCATTGCCTGACTAAGGTTATGTAATGAATTCAAACTGTTGTGATACTGACAAGTTTCAATGGTGGATAACACTTTTTAGAATGTAATATTGTAGTCTAATACTGTGCAATGCCCATATGGAGTCATTTTGTACTTGAAGTCACGGGACCTGGGTTCTTCTCAGTGGGAACTCTACCAATTATTATATAAATATCGAGTTTTTTGGAGAATCTCTATCTTCTCAAGTATATTTAAGCTTGAGTGTTTGTTTGGGGTTAGGTATTGTTTGGATTGATTAAAAGGGATGAATGAGATGGAATGGAATGAAACGAGATGCGGAACAGATTCCCTTCGGTTTCCTCCAAAACGCTTATTTTTGTATCCTCCATTGTGTAGGATGAAATTGGATACTTATATGATTAAATTTATCATGTTACTTGTCAGTCCTTAGCCTGTAGCCTGATGGTTGAATTTCAACCTAAATTACTAAAGCCACCAAAACCCATGAATTATGATAGTACATCAATCTTAATAAACTCAATCATTTCTCCTGGTTAACTGAATGGTTGAGTTTACAGGCCACTGATATTTTTTTTTCGCGTGGTGACCTTAGAATGTGCTTTACATGCATATCCCATTTTTTATAAATATCTTGAAAAGGTTTCTCCCTCTTTAATTTAATTAAACACGATAGATTTGTTTGGTTCAGTTATTTTGAAAAATAATAGCTTAAAAGGCTTTTGATGGAGTTCTTGAAATGAAGTTATTATTCCTTTTGTAATAAGCTTATCCAGTTACGCTATAAATTAGTCCCTTGAGATTGAATTTTTATGTAAATTAGTCGCTTACCCAAGTATGTATGCTATTAACTAGTTGCTTGTTCTGTTGAAAAAATTGTTACCACTTTCCTAGTTTAAAAGACTTTCCATGTTAGTTTAAAAGACAAATACGGCGATAGATTCAATATTTAACGGGCTATTGTGGTGATTTTTTATTTTTATTTTTTAGAATTGCAACAAAATATTTGGTCGGTTAACTTTTCAAACAAACTACTTGAATAAAACTCTTCTGAAACATTTCACCGGATACACTTACACTAACGATAGAAAAGCTTAATCTGATTAGAGTCAAGCGTGAACTATTTCAATTTGGTGAAATGTTTTAAAATTTAAAACTATTTTTGATTATGTGTTAGATAACCCTTTGATTAATCAGCCACTGAAATTCTAACAAAAATCATAAATAGACAATGTTTCACTTCTCAGAGTTATGTCGAGACTCCAGAAAGAAAACAATCAAGCAAGTTGGTGTTAAGATAAAAATATAGTCAAACATGCCAGAACTTTTTCAACTTTTCTTTTGTAAGAAAAACAAGCTGAATCCTTAGGTATAAGTTCATTTTATGTTTAATTAATGTTTCAAATATTACAAATCCATGATGCTGTTATTAAGGTGACAGTCTTTGTATTCACACTGTCATCAGCACTCTACATGCACAAAAAAACGACAGAGCCCAACTCAACACACAAAAATTGGTCACTTTTGCAATTGAAGGCCCTCGTAGGATAGAAACATGTGTGTTTATAGCTTTGAACTTGGCAAACCTGCAAGTAGAAAGACAACATGCAAGTCCAATTAGAAGGACCTACCTTCTATTTGAATAAACATTTATAAACAAATATTATATTCTTAACTTTTCTAAACACTAATATTAACTTTTCATAAACTAGTTTTAACTTGAACTAATAAAGTGAACAAGATTTCATTACCCAGAGCTTTTGCATTGACAATGCTTGGGCATGCAGATGGTGGTCTAGCATTCTCATTGAGGAATGGTTCCACCCTGTTGGCATCAAACCAAACTGGGTACCCTTTAATCTTACCCTGCACATTTTATAATTAAGGAGTATAATCAGTTTTACAAGACAATTAGAAATTTGATTGACCATAAAAATATTCGAAATGGAGAGACATGTACCAGCACGTTTAGAGCTGCAAGTGTTGCCATTCCCTCACGGGTCCACTACAAGAAAACATATACATGAGATAAAGTGATTCAACCATAAAAGACTAATTTAATACTGAAAATTCTTTAGCATAAAGTAAGTGTTAGGATTTATAGTTAAATTACCTTGGACGCTGATGCAATGTGAGGTACCACAATGGCATTCTTCAACTCTGCAAGCCCGGGTTTCATGTAGGGCTCTTCCTAATAAGAGTTTCAATTTCACATAGGCTTAAAAGGTGGTTTTGTTGTAATATGGAATCCAGATCAAAGAAGGGTTAGTTACCTCAAACACATCAAGGCCTACTCGAAACATTGGATTCTGTTTCAAATGCTCCACTAGTGCAGCTTCATCAATAACAGGCCCTCTACTGCAATTTATAAGAATTGCTTCCTGTAATAGGGACATTTTCATTAGCAGAAAAACCAACTTGCATCACTTTATTTTTGCAAATAATTGAGACAAAAAATATGTTGCATAAATAATTACCTTCTTCATCTTAGCAAGTCTTTCCTTGTTGACTAGATGATAGGTGGTTTTATCCAACACAGGATGAAGACTAATCTATAGAAGCACCCATGATAAAACATATTAGTTGGAATGATAAAATGTAACAAGTTAACTGCTGGTACATTAAACTTCCTGAATCAAGTTCTTACTACATCTGCCTCCTGGAGGACCTCATCCATGGTTGATGCCCTTTTCCATGCCACTGGGGTCTCACCACTTGCTTTCAAGAATGCAGCATAAGCTGCAATAGGTAAAAAAGACTATTAGTTCACACTTCACAGTAATTTGGTTTGTAGATGTATATATTGGTAGAAACATGCCTGTAACAAACTTTTCTAGTCGTGTGGCTTGGTAGAGGTCAAAGTAGATTAGGTTCATCTTGAACCCTTCCACCTGATGCAGAGGAAAACAACTTTGTTGTCATCACCAAAGCAAAACCATTATATGGATAATATTATTGAGCATCACAGATCAACTCAGAGTCACTAACATCAGCAAACTATATATGCACTTTCTTGCAAAGTACCCTTGCCAACTTCAAATATGATGAAACTAATACATCAGTTGTTATATCTACGAGTAAAATGTTTAGCATACAACAAATTCAACTAAATCAAATGAACCTGAAATGGAGAGACAATTAATGTGAGATTGCAACATATTGGAAATTTACCATCATTCTTGCATAAGCGGATCCAATACGACCAGCTCCAATTACACCAACAGTTTGTCCCTTGAGCAAGTTTCCAACAAATCTGCCACAGAAACAAAGCAAGAGCAGTTTATTCCAGACTTCTGAAGAGTATGTCACTTGAAATTCAGTGTATGAAAACTGACAAAGAATGATGGTAATATTTTTCATGGTATTTAACTTTACTCATTAAGAAAAAAAAAAGTAACGTGTAAAAAAAATATTTTTCATACAAATGAGGTAGCCATCCATCATATAATCCTCCCCTCATGAACTCATCAGCCTCAACTATCCTTCTAGCAGCTGCCAAAGACAGTGAAGCTGCTAACTCTGCTGTTGTCTCAGTGAGCACACCCTACGAAAAAAGAAATGAAACTAATATCAGATTTGGATAAAAAAGTTCATAAACACTTATAAGAAAATAAAATAAAAAAGAAAAATTATTTGACTTTTTCCATTAATTAAAATCAACTTCTACATATATCATCTTTTGGAAAGATTAAATGAGAAACTTTTAAGTGCACAAGTTATTTTAATTATAGAAAAGCTCAATTCATTTACATTCTTAATTTCTTTTTCAACTAGTCCTTATAAAAATGTTTATCCAAAATACGCCTAAAACCATTTTAGCATACACATGAACGGATATATCAGTAATTCTTGCAGCAACGTCTATTTTATTAAAAGCAAAAAATCTTCAATTCATAAATGAAAGCTTTGTTATAACTTACAGGAGTGTTTCCAACAGCAACACCATACTTGTTTGCAGCGTCAACATTCACATTGTTATAACCAACAGCCATGTTACTGAAAGCTTTGCCTCCAGCTTTGCTCAAAGCAGAGAACAATTCTTCTCCCCAGTCTTCAGTCAACTGCAACAGGAACTTCATCACATACCCACAAAGCCAAAACCAAGAAAAATCCACACTAGAACCAAAATGATATTTTTTTATATATATATAAAATAGACCAATACGATATCAGTTCGCAGTATGATGCTCCAATTTATTGATCACTATCGTGTATTTCTTGTTATCATTACCTGTCCTATAACTCCATCGCACTTATCACCAATCAAAGCAATGATGTCTTCAACTGACAGTATCGTTTTCTTCTCGGTACATATCTGTGTAGCACGTATGAGACAATCAATGAATCAAAATTTTCACCATACACTAAACTATGACATGCTGAGAAAATGTCTCAGCAAAAGGAAGGAACATAGTACAAAAAGAAACATAAGAAGTTTGATTACTTCAAGGCGACAATCATTCTGAATGAGAAGATTAATCCAACGAGTCCCAGGCATTGGTTTTGTGCTCACAACCCTGTATTTTCCACTTGGGTTCCATACCTCAATGGACACTGGCTTGGCCATGAAGGCAACAAAAGTGTGAAGTGGCTATGGATAGTTCAAGTTGAGGTTAAAATTTCAGTTGGTGTTTGCTTATAATGTTAGAGATGATGATCCAGTGTGAAATAGTAGACCATAGCTATTTATTTGTGACCAATAAAATTGGTGCATGGAAAAGACTTTGACATGTTAGTCCTTGACCTTTATAATGATGATGATTGGAGAGTGGTGTAATAGTTGAAGTTGGCTATAGGATTTGGCCACTTTCAGATAACGTGAACACATTAGGATGAGGCTGTGGAGAAGATGAGTTCAAGAAATTGGAGTGTCTTTAAGCCTCTCATTGGGCACTACCATCGGATAATGTCCATTCCATTTCTACAAAGACAAATATAACCCTTCTGTTTGTGGCTGATACTAGCTTCACACTGGGTAAAGTATTTGTTCTCTATCCTTTGCTCTTGAAAAAGTTTCCATATTTTTTTATTTTGTATAAGTATCACTTAATTATTATTAATTTAACTACAATATACATTCATTATAAATATCATTTTGTACAGTTTCAAACCTTAAAAATTTAAAATTGGTTTATAATATTATGATACAATTACTAAAAAGTCATACCCACTAAAAAAAACGTAAAAATTTAACTCTATTATTTTTTATATATTTTAAATTCTAAAATATTCGAAAAACTTTCTTGAGAAATTTTTTGATGCAGAAAGAAAAAATATCCAATAAATTACTACACATTAATAGCAAAGAATAATTTTATGAGAAAATTGGCGATACTCGCGAGTTTATACAAAATTTAACAAACTTTTTTTTCATCTCTTTTTTTTTTATATTAAGGAGATATAAATTGCAAATAGAAAATTGTGGTAAATAATACAACACATTAAAAAGGAAATGCATAACTTCAATGAGATTTTATTTGATGTAAAGTTTCACCAAAGATAGATATGCTTGAAACGCAAATTCCGAAGATATCAATTACAAACCTCACTCAATGCATGCCACATTACTCACTTTGAACACAACTTTCTTCTTATCAATCAACTGAAAGTGACAAACATTTCCAACCTTAAAATTGCATTGATTCATAAATTCAGACCAACCCGAAGTGAGTCTACAGTAAGAGTCCAACTTCACATCCCATGATCTCTCCCCAAATTGCAGCATCACTTTTTTTGCTCTACCAATCCCATGAATTCTGAAGAAGCTCCTCGGAACGTTCTGCACACAACACATAGTGAATTTAACTAGCCACAGCAAATATTTTTGCAAGCCAAAAACATCATTCTAATGCATCCTACCATTACATGTTATTGCTTAGGCTTGACACAGACGTTGAAGTGATTCTCAGACATTATGTTGTTGCGTCCACAATTTACAGAATCTAAAAGAACAAACACAAATCAAAAGGTGAAGTAAAATGGAGAAACATCTTAAAGCATGTTCGTAATTGTAATCAGTAAGCATTATTTGGGAGAATACCAATTACCTGGAAACTTTGAAGGACTTGATTCTTCTTTGTCACAATAAATATGAACTCTGAATGAAATTCCTGGCTTCTCATTAACTTTCTCAAAAACACATACATTCCCTACTTTCAAGTTATTATCCTGCACAAAATTCATCCAACCAGAAGTAAGTTTTATTTGGCCACTGCTATAATTCCTATAGAACTGCACATGCCAAGCTCTTTCCTCAGATATCCTAAGAGTAACACTGTTCTCCTCTTTCTGTTGCTCTTCTTCTGATATGATACTAGCAGGCATCACCTGGTTTAAATTAAAAATAACCAAATTGAGCAAAGATTACAAGAAAATCATTGCAAATTAGTATTGAATCCATATTTTCATTAAAAATAATGCATTATATATATCAATGTTATAACAACACATATCACAACTTCAAATGTATTATTATAGTTTATGGGAAAAAGATACCATAATATTCCTTTGAATGTATGATGGATACAAAGGATTCTCAGAGCGGAAAGCTTGGGCTCTAGCTCTAGCTAGAGAAATGCTTATTTTAGTATCTTCAAGCAAATTCTCACTTTTAATAGTCCCATCCTTAGAATCTGAAGATGTCATGTTGTCAGACTAGAAAAACTAGAAGGAAACAAAAAAACAAATAGTTGCAGTATCTTCAAGACTTTGGAACAGAAAAAGAATGTAGTACATCATCCCCACCTCTGATTTTGGGTTTTTCATCATCAGAATCATCTGCATGGAACTCCTTTGACTCAACCTTAATCCTTTGAGATTGAACACATTCAGTTTCAACATGTTGAGAGGAATAATAACTACCAGGTTCCTCTTTTGTGCTGGTTTTCAGCTTCTTAGTAAAAGGAGAAACTGGTAAAGAATCATCATTCTCTTCAGCATCTAAAGTTGTTTCCATCAAAGGGTACTCTATTTCCACGCCACTGTGATTAAATATTACAACTTCAAACTGTGACTTTCCCAGGTACTTGAACAGCAAGTAATTATCCACATCCAAAGAATAAAACTCCGCAAAATTCTTCCATGTATCTACTAACCAAACATCAACACCAATTCTTGTCCAATTCCTTTTCCATTTAGCGCCTTCAGGAAGCAGAAGGAGTAGTGGGTTTGCTATGTCTACCCAATATTTAATCACAAAACCTGGAGGTAACTTCTGCATGAACTTATTGTCAATAGTCAGTATTCCAATTCAATAATATTAACATTCACAATACAAATACAAGTTTTCATAATTTACAAGAGGGAGAGAAGAATGTTCACCAGTTCCCCACTGCAAAGGTTGTGTTCCTCAATCCCCTTGACAAAGTGAATGCCTGTGCCATCATAAGAAAACATTGTTCAACAATGAACTAGAATTTGATGCTTCGTTGTTACCTTACAAAGTACAAGAATGTCTTATAAATATTGATCTTTGAAGCAAGTAATGCTTTGTTATATACCACTGGGTAAGCCAAACCACCACCGAAGGAGCGACCAATGAATGTCTTCAATCTTAATGGAGCATTCACGATTCTCGATTCTTACAACGCTGTGAACAAACTTTTGTGGAGATATTTGAAAAGAATAACGTTAATGTCACTTTTAAAGACAACTAAAAACAATTTTTTAAGTAAATAATATATATTATAACTTACTGATCGTACACTTTCCAGAAATATTTCTCTAGATTTTGTTCAAATATATAATCAATTTAATTTACTAATGATTATTCTATGTAAATATTACATGTCTTTCAACTTTCAATTATTATATAATTTAAAAAATGTATCATGAATTTTTTATATGGAGTCTATAACTGTAAATACTTAAGTAGATGAATGAATTTTTATTTATTTTTTATTTATATTAAACAATTAACTATTATACAAAATTTAGAGCTAGACAAAATAATTGAACTAAAATTGTTGTAAAACTGGATTAGAAAGGTAATTTTATATAAAATTAGATTATTTAATTATAGATATATTAATTATAAATACAAACAGATCAATAAAGATAAAACTTGTTTATAGTAGACCCCAATTAAGGGGTTGATAACATTATAATTAAAAGAAAACATGAAAAAGTAATACATAGATTAAGAATGTGCTAAATGTGTGCAATATAATCTAATCTGTGTAAGATAATTAATTGATAAAAATTAGCAATTGTTATACAGGAAGATTATGTTAAGTTGTTTGGTTAAAATAAGAGATTGATGCTTCATTATTAAAGAATATAATATTTAACAACAGCATTGACTTTGGTATGATCATTTAATCTTTATAAGTATAAGTCAATTATAATAAAAAAATTATTGATCAAATTATTTTTTATTTATGCACCTAACACGATTTAAAGATGAACAAAATTTTATTATTTTTATTTAATGTAATTAACTATTGATTAATTTATATTATAGGATTATACAAAATTTAGAGTTGGATAAAATAATTGAATTAAAGTGTTGTAAAACTGGATTAGTGTTTTTTTTTAAATTAGTTTAACTATTTTAAATATTTTATTTTTTTATTTCATAAATTACAGTTTAATTTATATATGATCAATTTAAAGATAATTTGATTTTTAAAATTTATAATAAAAGAACAATTTATTTTGTAGAAAATAATTTACTTTTAATATAGTTTAATTTAATTAAGTAGTGGTTTATTTAGTTCATTTTATTTAAGTCTTAACAAATATTTTTTAGAATGGATCTTTTCTAATGTAAGGGTATTGATAAGTTGATGGACAATTATAATTGTATGGTACATTTATGTTCAACTAATCAATTTTTTTTATTGTCTTAGGAGAGGAAAAAAATCAGTTAATAGAAATTTAATATTTTTAATTGAATTAATTATATTTTAATCCTTATATATTAATTAATAGGAGTCTCGTTAAAAGTTAAAATGAATTTTTTTATATTGATTTATTTATAAATAACTTTATTTGTAATTGTAATTCTCCTTTTATAAGTTATATATAAATATAATTCATTAAAAATACTAAATCAACACTTTGACCCAGTAGTAACTAAAATTTTCTACTCTATCTTAACAATTAACTCAGATGCTTACAGTAACTTCACACACATTTCTTTTATTTAAAAATGATAACTATTTATCCTTTTAATAATTTTGAAAACACAGAAACTTTATATAAATAGTATTTTATTATATATATATATATATATATATATATATATATATATATATATATAGCATTTTAGTTCATGCATTATATAATATAAGGTTTGTTACATCGTTAAAATAGTACTTTAGCTAATAACGAATTAATATTGTTTTATCGCTTGAACATCTGTCATTCAATTTTTTATATTATTTAATTTGTATGTGTAGAAATTAATATTAATAAACAAGTGTAGAAATTTGTACAAGTGTAAAAACTATATGCTTTTCACTATTACAGAATATAAGCTATATTGTTTTATTCATTTTATATATATATATATATATATATATATATATATATATATTTTTTTTTTTTTTCTTTTCTAAGTACTAGAATTTTGTTACCACAATAGGGAATAATTTCTTTATAATAGGTGATGGTTATTCTTTATGAAAATAGGAAATATTATTTAAAGTAAGTGTTGATTAAAATTGTGTATAAAGACTATCATAAAGTAAGAAATAATTCAACTAAGGCAAAAGGTGTGATGTATGAGAATGTAGTGAAAAAATATAATAAGATTTTGGTCTTGATTTACCAAAGTGTAAATGAGAACATCTTTGATCAATCTTCAAGACATCTACAACAGAGGTTGAGTGAAATTTTTTATGGAGGTATTTTACTAATGATGAGAAGATAAGAAAGTAAGACTCCAAATATTAAAGAAAGAGTATGAAATGTTATAAATGAAAAAAAAAATCGATAATAAAAAAAATCACAAGTCAAATCATGATTATGAAAAAGATCATGTGCACTTTCAACAAAATTATGATCATATAGGTTTGGTGATTAAAAAGTTCAATGATACAAATAAAATGAAGATTGAGAAACTACAAGGATCTTTGGAAATATAAAAATTAAAATTGCTATAAAGGAATAAGATCAAGTCTTGCAAACATAAGTCAAGAAGAATGTTTTTACAAGGTGGAAGAGAAAAGAAAAGAAATATTTCAAACAAAAAAAGTTGGAACCCAAATTAAAGATGTTATACATGAACACAAAGTTGAGTCTCATCATTTGGAATAGCTTGTTTCTTCTTCTCAATTCAAACAAGGAAAAAACAAATAGGAAAGAGATGTAGTACTCTATGTGTGACAGATTTTAAAACATTTATATATATGGTTGATTTAGAAAAAGGAACAAAAAGTAAAGAATTAACAAGAAAAAGTAAATATGTAACAAAAGAAAAATATGATTACAAACTAACACTTTTGATGGTTACTATACTACAAAAAGTATTCATCGTCAAAATCTTCTTCTTTTTTCTATATTGGTTGCTCTAATCATAGGTTATAAGATGACTTACTAATTTAGACACATGTTGATCAATAAAGTAAAACTTGTTGATAATAGGACCTTGATTGTCAAGGGAATTGGTAACAATATGATTAAAAGAAAGATAGCAAAACAATTATGAGTTATGCAGTATGATTCTCAATAATTGTTTGATAACAAGTTGGTTCTTAAAAATAGAATGTTTAACTACAACATGGTTGACTTTGGCATCTAAGACTTAGTTATTTAAATTTTAAAAGCATAAGTCAATTAAAATCCAAGAAAATGGTAATTGGATTGCCTTAAGTGGATGTACCTAATAAGACTTGTCAAAAGTAAAAATCCCAAAAACTCTTTCATTTCACATTTTGTCAATGAGATCATTAGGTCTGTTACGATCTTATGCATGTGTGGACCTTTCGAGGTTTTTAACTATTGTAGCTTATCTTTTGAACAAGTGCACAACTAGAAGAATCAAAGAGAAAATGCTTGAAGAGGGATGATTTGGGAGAAAACCATGGTTAATCATTTAAGAACTTTTGATTCTCTATGTTATAAACATATTCTTGATGCTAGGATATGGAAGTTAGACGACAAGGGTCAAACTATGGTTTTGGTTGTCTATCATCCAGCAGGTGCATATAGATTGTATAACCTTGTGAAGTAGAAAATTGATATCAGAAAAGGTGTGATTGTATATGAAAATTACTCATATAAATGATAAAAAAGACTTAACAAAATAACTCCAAATGTTTTAGTTTAATATCATGATGAACACTTTGAATCTAAATAGGAGAGAAGGGGACCAAATGCAAAAGTAGTTGAAATTGTAAATTTTGATGTGAATCAAATTCAAAGACCTAAAAGATAAACATATATTATCCATACTTTTATATTTATTTATCTAATGATAATGAAACAATATTTGGAGAAAATTTAATCCACTTTGCATTAATGATTTATGCAAAACTAATTAGTTGTGAATAGGTTTTACAGAAGGATGAGTGGAAGAAAGTTATGCTTAATGAAAGTAATTGAGACGAATTGCACTTGGGAGTTGAAAAATTTACCCCTCGTAAGAGAGTTATAGATGTTATATGGATCTTCAAACTAAAAGTTAATTCATGGCTCGATAGGAAGACATAACACTAAGTTGGTGATGAGAGGATTCAAACAAAAGCTAAGAATGGACTATGCTGAAGTTTTTGCTCCAATAATAAGGCTTCAAACTATCAGATTGGTAATAATTTTAACTAGTAGCAATGATTGATCTCTTCAACATATGAATGTGAAGTTTGCCTCTAAGATTTGAGATTATAGGGAAAGAGAAGATGGTGTACAAACTAAATAACGTTTTATATTATCTTAAACAGGTACCTAGAGTCTAGAATAACAAAATGTATCCATTTCTTTTGTGTAAGGATTTTACTAAGTGCTTACTTGATTATGATGTGTGCATGAGAAGGAAAGGTAAATGATTCTCCTAATTTATCTATATGTTCATGATATGTTTGTGGCACTAGTAATGATAAATAAATAAGCAGATTCAAAGATAAAATGATGAACTTAGAAAATTTGACTTATTTCCTAGATATGGAATTTGTATGAACAACACAAATAATTGTTCTACATCAAAAGAAATATTCAACTGATGTATTAAAGAAATTTTGCATGACTGATTATAATGAAATTACTACACCAACAAAAATAAATTTGAGATTAAAAGTTGAAAATGTTGAGGATGAAGAGGTGGATATACCTCTTTTTAAACAAATAGTTGGTTGTTTAAGGTATTTATGTAATAACATACTTGATATTTGTTTCTTTGTTAGTTTGATGAACTGATATATGTCTAATCAAAGAAAAGAATCACTTCTTGGTTGTCA